AATGATATTGTTTACGCTTCTAAGTTAGGGAGTGATTTGATTCACTCAGTAGATGTATATATCAAGTACCAGCTGTGTTAACTGAAAATCACATCCTTTTTGAAGCACCCTGACAGTGTATGCTTTAACTCAGAAGCGCTTCCAAGGGCCAGATGTCTCTTCCACAGGGCTCCCGGTGACTCCTCTAAGGCACTGCTCACCAGGGCTTCAATTTCAGGTTGAACCAAGTCTCTTCCAAGGCTGAATTAGGCCTTCAGGTCTTCTGAGCCCAGAAAGCTCCCAAGGGATTCCTGAGTCCTCTTAGTGGAGAGGTCCACCCCCCATTGGCACTAAAGAACTCAAGCCATCTTGGTGGCTAATAAATTATTATTGGTACTTGATTCACAGAAGCCTTATCAGGTTTGTGTCTGAGGGGCAAATACTAAAACACAGAAAGTTAAAATTCTAGTCAGGATGCCTACCCTGTGTAACACCATGATGCTCAGCAGGAACTTGGAAATATCAGAATTGGGAGGGCCTGTTCCACAGTGTGAGCTGAGAAATCAGGGCAATGGTTCTTGATGAACCCCCAGCAGAGAACATTGGGAAAGGTTTCCTGATACAAACAGCTAAACTAACTCCTGACACAAGGTTAATTGAAGAGAAAAAAAAATGGACATTCCCGACAGAAGTAGCACATTCTGGAAAAAGTTGAAGGAATATGTAGTTTAATACAACTGAGTAAGTAGTTACAGAGAAGGTAAGATTGCTAGGAGAGAATAGAGTCATACTGAAAAACCCTTGATGTCATGCTAAGACGCGGGGACTGCTTCTAAAGACAATAAGAGGGGCCTCCCCTGTGGCGCAACAGTTGAGCGATGGGTTGCGAAGCTGCCTGCAGCCTCTTAAGCGCTGGTTCAATTCTTGGCCTAATTCTTTTCTAGGCATCTCTACCAACTTGGAAGGCACTCTGGGAAACTATCAAGAATTTACAGCAAGCAAAAGTTCAATCAAGATAAAATCATCTTCACAATTGCAGGAAAGGGGCCTTCCCTCACAGCACAAAGGATTAAATCTCAGCATTATGAAGCTGTTTGCAGCACAGAGTTAGATCCCTGGCCAGGGAGCTGCCCACATGGCAAGACAGACCTCTCCTGTCACTGCTCCCCTCAGCAGTGTATTTCAGTCAATCTGCCTGTTCTGCTCCTGACTCTGTCCCTGGTGAATCCTCTCACCACCCACACCTCGGGCTTGTACCCCAGCTCTTGTATGCATAAATACATAAATCTTAAAAAATAAGAGAACACTTTGTGCATAAATTTGACAAAAAATATCCGTAAGGTACACATATCAAAAAGCAAGAAGCAACAAGTGTTGGTGGGGATATGGAGTCAAAAGAACACTTTTTCACTGTTGGTGTTGGTAGTCTGGTGTCGCTCCTATGGAAAACAGTATGGAGTTTTCTCAAAAGACAAAAAGTTGATCTGCCACGTGACCCAGCAATCCTACTCCTAGGTTTCTACTGCTGAAATACAAAAACACTAATTTGAAAGGAAACTTGCTCTCCCATGTTTATTGCTGCACTATTTACAATAGCCAAGATGTGGGGACAACTTAAGTGCCCGATCAGATAAATGGATCAAGAATATGTGATGTGTATACACAATGGAATATTACTCAGCAATGAAAAAAGATAAACTCATGCCATTTATAGCAACATGGATGGAACTAAAAGGCATTATGCGGAGTGAAATAAGTCACTAGGAAAAAGACAATACCAGGTAGCATCACTTGTACGTGGACTATAGAGAAAGCAAATAAAGGAACCTCAAACTTTAAAAGTAATCCTTGCCCCTGGTCACAGAACTGAGGTCCCCAAGGGGAAGAACAATAGGGAGGGGTGAGAGAGATGCAGGAGAAAGCACAATGGCTATGGGGGCAGATTGCGGGTGCTTTTGCAGTGGGTGCACTTGGTGAATGCACATAGGGCACAGAGACCTTACAAAATACTAACACTGGTGGTAACACATCTTACTCACTTACATTTTAAAAGATTATTTTTTATTGACTCCTTGAACAAAAATAACATATGGGGTAAGGGAGAAAGGATTTTGAGTGGGAATTGCAGAAGGGGCCTACACCCAGAAGTAACATAAATCCCAAATAAATAATTAAACAGAACACCTCAAGCAACTTGAGAAATAAAACAAAGAATGACTAAAATAAATAAAAGAAGGGAAATTATTTAAATTGGAGCAGAAATAAATGAAACACAAGTCAAAAAGCCAAAACAAAGATCCATGAAACTAAGATTTACTTCTTTGATAAACAACATTGATAAATCTTTAGCTAGGCTAACAATGGAAGCAAGAGAAAAATTATGAATAGAATTAGAAAAAAAATGAAAATTACTACAGCTAGCAGAGAAATACAAATGTCATGAGAGCACTATGACAGACTATGCTAGCAAATTCAATAATCTTTTTTTTTTCTTTTTTTCAAATATTTATTTATTTATGCTTACAAGAACTGGGTACAGGCCAGAGGCACGGGAGGGTGAGAGGATTCACCAGAGACAGAGTGGGGAGCAAAACAAGCAGAATGACGAAATATACCACTGAGGGGAGCAGCGGGCGAGACAGGAGAGGTCTGCCGCACCATGTGGGTAGCTTCGAGGCCAGCAGGGATCGAACAGGCACTGCAGAGGCTGTGGACAGCTTCACAGCGCTGTGCTCAACTGCCTGCACCACCACAGAGTCCCTGTATAGATCTTTCACCTCTTTTATTAGGTTCATTCCCAAGTATTTGATTTTTTTTTGCTTCAATTATATAAGGGATGGTTTTCTTGATTTCTTCTTCTGCAGACTGATTGTGTATAGGAAGGCTACTGATTTTTGCGTGTTGATTTTGAATCTTGCTACTTTACTGAACTGGTTGATTATTTTGAGTAGTTTTTCTGTGGAGTTTTTAGGGTTCTCGGTGTATATTATTGTATTGTCTGCAAATAGTGATAGTTTTTCTTCTTCTTTCCCCATCTGCATTCCTTGCATGTTTAGACATAGGTATTGACACTGATTTGGACTGTGAGGCACTTCTAAAATTAAGCCAACAGGTTAAAATACAGCAAAAAAAAAAAAAACTCAATGTGGCTGATGATGTAAACCTTTATGACATCACACGTGACATTTGTCATTTGAAGTACTTTGAAATATTGCTTTAAACAAAGTTTCCCTAGTCAAACTGTTTGAATCTATTTCCTGATGGAGAGTGAGAAAATGTTCCTATGTAAAAAGGCAAGGGAACACTCAAAATGTACTCTTCTGTAGAATGTTCTTGTTTTAGAACTGCTTTGGGTCAGTCAACAGCATTCTTCCCATAAGCAAAACTGTGTCAGGAGCTCAAGACACAGGAGGCAATTCCATTCTAGCATGAAATTCTGAAAACATGTTAGTATGATTTAGGTGCAGATGACACTGTGAAGGGAGGAGAGGATGTGGTTCAGGATGAAATGTGCAGCACCTGCCTGCAAGGCGGTCAGAAGTGACATGTGGGTTGGAGGAAAGCAAAGTCAGAGAGCTGGTAGGCTCAGACTGGGGATTCTGGAAGAATAAGAACAAATGCCCCAGGTGGCAACAGGATGTGGCAGAAAGAAGGACACCCAAATATCCCAAAATAGATGACAGGATCAAGAAGATGTGGTGCATATACACAATGGAATATGACTCAGCAATCAAAAAAGATAAACTCATGCAATTTGCAGGAACATGGATGGAGCTGGAAGGGGTCATGCTTGGGCAAAATAAGCCAGAAAGAAAAAGAAAAAAATACCAGATGCCCTACTCATAGCAGGAATTTAGAAAACCTAAATAAGGGACCAGGAAAATACCAATTATAATAAAGTAAAAATCACAATCAACAGCAACTACAAGCCAGAGACACACTACTGTGCGAGGGAGGAGGGAGTAGGATCAAACAAGGGGGCTGGGAATTGTACGGGGACTATAACCAAGGTGAAAATGCATACATTAGCAAAAATGAAAAATGATGTAAAAATACATAAAATTCAAAACAAAAAAGAAGGGCAGCTCACCCAGCAGGGCTGGACAGGGAGGGGAGGTGGGTGGGAGCAGGGCTGAGGCCAGCAGGGCAGTGAAGCCTGTGCAAAGGGGTTTTGGGGAAGTGTCAAGCCCAGTAGGGCCATGGGAAGGCGTGAGGCCAGCGAGCAGATGATCTGATTGATGCTCTCACTCTTCCCTGGGTGTGGGGGAGGTTGAAGGAAGGGGAGGAACCAGTGCGGGGCCGCAGCCCTGGCCCGTGACGCGCAGCATCCCAGGCTGGTGGGGGCATAGTGGGTTCTCAGAGGCGAGAGGGAATGCGGAGCCTCTGTGGGGTTTGCAGCCCCTGAGGCTGAGGTGGGCGTGGACACAGGCGGGAGCACAGCGTGGACTCCCCCCAGGTGGCCGTGGAGGTTGGGGAGAATGACTGGAACGGTCCGGTGAGTCCGCCCCCGACACGGGAGAGGATGCGACCTCTCTGCGTGGCAGCCGGGAGCAGCCGCGGTCGCAGGAGGAGCAGCTCGGCCTCTCCTGGCCGCTACTGCATCAGGTCCCCAGGGGGCGGGTCCCCGGGAACCTGCCCTGGGCGTCCTGTCCCCCCGAGACGGGTAACACCCTCCGCTCTCCGGGCCTGGGACACGAGGCACTGGGGACACTGGGCCCGACTCGCTAAGCCCAGGCTCTGAGCCTCGGGGCTCTGTCCGCGCCCCAGGCTGCTCAGGGGAGACCTGGTCCTCAGCGATGCTGTGCGTGAGTGATCAGGGTTGGCCTGGTGAGGGGGGTAGGAACCTGCAGCCTGAGCAGCAGTGAACCCACATTGCTCACTCGAACCCACCACTTCCAGAAGCCAGGCCGTTCCCGGCGGGGCGCAGGGCCACAGAATCTGGTCCTGGCCTTTGCCAACCTCTGCTCCCCGACCCCGAGTACAAGCAAGAAGCAGATATTTTTTTAGTCTTTTTTTTTTTTAAGATATATATTTATACAAGAACTGGGGTACAGGCCAGAGGTGCGAGAGGTTGAGAGGATTCACCAGAGACAGAGCAGGGAGCAGAACAGGCAGACTGAAGAAATACACTGCTGAAGGGCGCAGCAGGCGGGAAAGGAGAGGTTTGCTTGCTTCCCTGGCAGGCCGGGAATTGAACCGGCGCTTCAGAGGTGCGGACAGCTCCACAGTGCTGCGATCAACCCGCTGCACCAACGGGAGCCCCAGACGCAGATATTTCCAAGCCAGAAATCTCGGGGGGATCTGACCAACCCCAGCTGCCCCAGCCCTGGCTGAGTCAGGTCAGGGGGTGTCCCCACAGCACTGGGGGAGGGGTGGAGAAGACACCCTGCCGCGAGCAATCCCCGGGCCAGCACAAGGCCAAGACTGAAGCCATGGTCTGATTGGGGTTCCAGAAAGAGGTCATCGACAGGGTGCTTTTGGAGGGCAGGTATGACCCTGTGATGGGGACCTACCTCATGCTGCTCTCTAGGCATTAGGCAGACGAGGAGGAGCCAGACCCCACCATCTCCCCCAAGCTCCTTAGTCCTGATGGGGTCCACTGTGCCCCAATACCGGAGGACCACCGGCAGCCTGAGGTCTTGGGGTGCGAGACCTTGTGGGTGGGACTGTCCCCGAAGCAGGATGCCCAGAAGCCCACCACCACCTCTGGGCCAGGCAACCCACAGGAGGACTCCGGTGTGCAGAACTCTGTCTCCGGCTCAGGGCCCCTGCTGCCAGACGCCTGGAAGCCCAGCATGGCCTCCAGGTCAGGGCCCGTGCTGCAGGAGGCCTGGGGGCCCAACACCACATCGTTGCCAGGCACCCTGCAGGAGGAAGCCCTGCGGCCCAGCACCACCTTGCTAGGCACCCAGCTGGAGGGGTCCAGGAAAGCATTAGGAAGACCACCATCCCAGCCCCCCAAGTCCCCAGCACCACCTGAATAACCCCAAGAAGGTGCCTCCTGTTCAGCCCACCCCCTGCAGAGACACTGGACCATGAACACCATTCCCATTTCACTCTTCAGTCCAGCAGAGGCTACAAGGCCAGAGCTCTTCGAATCCTTTATAGGATTTTAAAATGTTGCATTTTCTGTTCACCCTTTGGAAGAAAACACAAGAGAAGAGTTCACCCTGCTGGTGATTAGATGATCACCAGCACCTCCCTAGAATTCACTTCCCTGCTCCAAGGCAGCCACTTAGTGGCCAAGGTGAAAGGAGCACACCAGTGGAGGCCGAGACCCTGGAGAGGAGTCAGGGGCTGGACCCAGCCAGAGGGGCCAGGAGCAGCATGAGAACATAGGCGTGGAGCACAGATGTCCGCAAGCACAGCAGTCCCAGGAGCAGAGCAGGTGAAGGGCTGGGAGGGCAAAGGAACTGGTGAAGCACCTGGAGGAGAGCAGAGAGGGGGAAGGGGAGTAGAGGAGGGCTTGGGGCAGCTGAGCAGATGCAGGGCCCGGGATGGGAGTGGAGCTGTGTGGGCTGAGCCTCCAGAGGCCCTAGGGTCAGAGGCTGGGACCCCAGGGCCTTGCTTCCCCATCTTAGGCTCTATCCTGTGAGGGCCCTGCTGGTGGACCCTGGGAACCCGGATGGCACAGATGATGCAGGAGCTCTTCGGGCTGACTGGCGCTGTCAGGGACTGACATCCACTGTAGGAAGTCCCCCTCTACTGAACCCCTTTTCACAACGGAGAATCCAAGATGGAGAATTGCTTACCCGCCAGCAAGTGGTGCCTCGGTAGGGCCTTCTGGTTTCCATCTGCACTTTGTCACATCTGAGTCCGTGCAGCATTCCCCAGGGGATGTCACTAAGGAAAGAGCCTCCTCCGTGCTTGGGCTTCACTGGCTCTGCTCTTCCCACGCAGGTCCCAGAGGGCGCGAGGAGGCGGCCGCTGTGGACACACTGGTTCCCGCTGCAGGGGCACCTCCAGGTGACCTGTTCTTCCTGCGGAGCCCTGGGGTGTGGAGGCATCTGGACGCTCTTTCTATGCCTTGAGGAGACAGTCTGTAATGGATTGTTTAGTTAAAATGTCTATCCCAGGACACATTAAATTGGTGTTTGAAACTGACCATGTTTGCTCCCCGTTTATGACTGCACCCACACTTCCAACACATCGGACATCAGAGACCTAAAAATCCTTTAACATTCTTGTAATAAGCAGTGAAAAGTTTAGAAAATTTAGAAAATTTTGGAAAGCATTTAGAAAATTTTAGAAAAGTCAGAGGGGTCACGTGGTGATAAGACAGACAGGAGTGTGAAGCAGAGCTAGCTGTGAGTATGGAATTAGGTATTTGCACTATTTTCTTTAGGTGTATGTGCATATCTTGCATTGTGTGCAAATGTGTGCATGTGAATCTACATGAGTGTGGCTTGTGGGTGCTTCTATAGGTATGAAGTGTTTATGTACCTTCTATCATCAGAAAAACACTCCCAGCTGTTGAGAATTGGTACAATGTCTTCAAAAATGTGGCCTCTCAGATGGTACAGCGGGTTGAGCCCAGCGCTGAGGGAAGTGCTGAGTCTCCAAAGTCCCCAATGTGGCTTGTGTCCCCGAGTCCACATCTGTAGGGGGTTTAATTCTGCTCCAGTATAACTGTAGATGCAGGTTAATTAAAATTTTCCCGGTTTCTTGTCATTGGTCCCTGCTCCTGGTGTGTGCCCTGGTCACCCATTTCTCTTTCAGGGGTATCAATGTTGTCCTGCACAGTGTTGTGAGTTTATGGTGGCGGTGAGCCCAGTGTTTTCACTCTGCCTCCATATTGCCTCTCATGGGTAACCCAATTCATTTTTGAGACCATAATTACTGTGTAAACCAAAACAACTAAATACAATAAAAAGACAATAAAAATGAAAAACTATAGATGTTAAAAAAATCACGTCCAGTGACTTGTATTGAAATTATTGAAAAATTATATACATCATGGCTAAGTGTGGTTCATTTCTGTAATACACGACCAGTTCAACACTTACATATCAAATAATATAACAGTTTACATTAAGTGTGAATAAGAAAAGAACACATTACTATATCAACAGACATAAAAACACTCAATATATTTCAACACACTTCGAAATTAAAAAAAAAAAAATCAAAAACCCAGGATTTAAAGGGCTTTTCCTTACACTAATAAAATGTATAAAAGAAAACATGTAACTAACATTATACTTAAAGATGAGCCACCAAATAGAGAAACAGGCCATTATGTCCTCTGCACCTACACCAATTCAGAACTGTGGGGCTGTCCTAACAAATATGATAAGTAACAGAAAAGAAAAGCTATAAAGGGAATACATATTGATATGAAACAATCAATTATGTATTCCAGGTAGAAAACCACTAGAAAGCTTAAAAAATCTCAGAAATAATTAGCAACTATAGGAAGGTTCCCCATAAGCAACACAAACAACTGGGATTTAAAATTAAAGAAACATTATCTTTTATAAAAATACTACCCCAAATGAAATACCTAAGCTTGGTCCTGGTGGTGCAGTGGTTGAGCGCTGTGCTGTGAAGCTGCCCGCAGCCTCTGCAGCACTGGTTCAATCCCGGCCACCAACAAGGTTCCCGCATAGCGCACAGACCTCTCCTGCTGACCGCTGCTCCCCTCAGCAGTGTACTTCGTCAGTCTGCCTGTTCTGTTCCTGGCTCTGTTTCTAGTGAATTCTCTCACCTTCCCATGCTTCTGACTGTACCCAGTGCTTATATAAATAAACAAACAAACTCATAAATAAATAAATAAATAAATAAATAATCTTTGAAAATAAATTAATAAAGACTGAAAAAAAGAAAGAAAAAATAAATACCTAAGCATAAATCTAACAAAATTTGCAGGATACCTATACACAGAAAGCCAACAAAACTAATAAAATGGACCAACATACAGACCTAAGCCTTATTAAAAAATGAACCAATGCAAATTGAATCATAAACATGAAAGTAAAACGCAATACTATAAAACTTCTCAAATACATAATAGACTTAATAATATGTCTATTAGAAACAATAATACAAATAGATGTGACTTTGGATTTGCAAATAACTTTTTAGATAAAACACTAGAAGCATCACCTATGAAATAATATACAGACCTTTGCACTTTATTAAAAGCTTATTAAAATGATGTTAAGACAAGTAACTTATTGGGAAAATACTATGAAGATAGCTGCATTTAACAGCATTCATTTGTCAAAACCGAAAGAACTCACAGCAGTAAGAATGACCCCTGGTCTTCCTAAATTTTAAAGAATCATTTTGCAAGTTCGGGTATCCCAGAATGTGACACAGACGATGACAATAGAATGTAACTGTATTACATTGTATGACACACGCTTACAGAAAGAGGTTTTGGAAAAGGTGCTGTAGACTCAAAAAGAGGGAAATAATTCTATAGTTTGCTTTTCTGGAAATATCCTTTCCATACTGGCAAGGCTTCCTGGGCAATAAAGTCAGCAAGACAATAACTTTGTTTGCTTTGAAGAGATCCTCTGGTGAGAAGCAAAGAAAATGTCCAGAAAGTCCACAGTCCTATCGTGTTTATAAGTTGCTAGACGAAGGAATATGAGCTGAGGGACAAGCGTGTCTGAGGACACTTGTCAAAATAAGAGATTCCAATAACATTTGGTCCTTACATCTTCCCCCACACAGGTAACTCTGACTGCCTCGACTTTGTAAAATCAAATCTGGAATTGCTATTGGTTTTTAAATTGGGAGTTGGAGTCATAGACCTGTCAGAACATTCCTACAGGTCCAGCATAACCTGTGTAATATGAACCATCCCTGGAAGGCATTGAGTTGATTGGTTAAACTGTTAACCCAGCCTACTAGATGTACAAGGACTCTGCTGTCCCCTGCCCTCTAGGTGCTGGTGTCCTAGGTAAGAAGACACATCATCAAGGATTGACTCTGAAGTTTGTCTTTGACAAACTTTGTTTGGTTTCTTGATATTCCACAGAAAAGTAACATCATCCAGTATTTATTTTTGCCCTTCTGGCTTATTTTGCTTGGCATAATAGATTCCAGTTCCATTCATGTTGCCATAAATGGTGTAAATTTATCTTTTTTTGATTGCAGAGTAGTATTCCATTGTGTGTATATGTATATACACCACATTATCTCTTCCATATGGCCACTGATAATTCTTTCATTTGATTCCTCTATTCCTTTAAAAAACTCCATTTGGGGGAGGAAGTCCACTCATCTTTGCTAAGCAAACAAGTATAGGTTTTTGCACCTGAGGGGGGAAAGTCTATACTCCCAAAACACTAATAAAAATGTAAACCAATGGTGCTTCTATAATAAAAATGAAAAAGATGACACATCATCAACATCACTAACCTGGCAGTGTGGTGGATAGCTTGACGATTAACACTATGGAGAAGAAATTAGCAAGGAAGAACAAAGGCCATATTGTCTTAAATCAAGACTTCAGGGAAAGCCTCTCTGAAAGCAAGGAAAGACAAGCAGGAGGACCAGCAGGGGCAAGCCTTGGGTGGTAGTGTGCTTACAGTCTTTGAGGGGCAGAACTATGGCCTGAAGAGCAATGTTTTCTTAAATCTACAGGCCCTGGTGTGGCTCTTTGGGGATGTGCGAGGGGCCCTACATGCTTAAAATGCATTCAGCTTTAAATGAGGACTGCAGAGATGGTGATTATATAACACTACCCATTCCAGTATCCATTAGTCAGGGCTAATTAGCACACTTCCTTTTCCACTGTGCCCTCAGAATACCATAATTATCAAGTGCTGGCACCCACTGTCACCTACAGATTCAAGGTAATAGACCTCATCTCTTCTACAACACCATGGGTTTCCTGAAGGAATTGAATCATTTCCCAGGACTGCCTTGGGCAAAGTGGGACACAGAAATGGGGCCCTAATTAGAATGGGGGTGAGGAAGGGGCAGCTGGGCTGCAGGTGAAACATCCAGAACAAGACTTTGATAGACAACTTCATACTTCCAACGAGAGCCTGCCCCAGGTGGACTCAGGTCACCAAACACACAGTAGATAATGAATGTCCCTTCACCAAAACATCTGTGCTCTCTAGGTCTAGACCCACCCATTGAGACTCTCACCTTTTTGTGTCTGCATTATGTTCTGTGACTGACACCACATGGTCACCCTGCTTGCAGTTTTATTATACTAAGAAATCACAGCCTTCCATTGCATAACACTGATTTTATTGAACAACAAATCTGCCCTGTTTGTTTACATTCTGGACACTGATAAAATAAAATAATGATTTCAGTTGGTATCTTGAGTGAGTCAAATTTATAATTTATCCCAACTTCATATGATCCAAAAATGAAAGAAGTGGAAGACTGTGGACAGTATGAAATGACAGCTTAATTGTTAGGAAAATAAAACCCAGAGCCAGAGAGTTAAAGGTTTTCCTACTGATGTTAAAATTGTTTTCAGAGAGGACAGACATGCAGCATTTGATGCCGAGGAAGACAAGTTTGCTTTGGTGCATAGGGCAGAGACATAGCCTTTATAGGTATATTTAGAACAATTTAAAAATTTCCCGTTATTTCTGTAAAGGGCTAATACAAGTAGTATAGACTTGAGTGGGGTAGTGCAAATCCAGGAATCAAGGGTCCCTGTAAATTAATCTATAACCCACTCCTGATGCTTTTATATGAGGTTCACCAAAGCACTTTGGATTTCAAACCATCTCTGGCTTGTACTCTGGGGTCTGTTTTTCTCTCTTGCATGATACATGTGTTAGATTGATACTGATCAGTATATATGGGAAGAGTGAATGGGATATAATGCACTTAACAATCATACATGATTCCTTCTGCAAGCCCAGCACAGCAGGTGCTCAGTACAGGAGACAAAACCTGGAAGACATGGCCTTGCCTTGTACATATTAGAGTCCAGGGAGGGTAAAGAGAAATCCGCCCCTGAGATGCAGACAGCAAGCATAAATGTCACCCAGAGGATAGAAATTGTCTACCAGGACAGGTTCTGACCTCAAGTCAGTATCATTTGTGGTCTTACAGG